TCTTTGTTTCCCCCCCCCCCCCCCCCCCCCCGCCCATCTGGCAGCCCCGAAGCCAAACGAAAAAAGCCGCCCCCCTACCGCCACCACCACCACCACTACCGTCATCGTGCCTCCGAAAACCTCGAAGTGATACGCTTACACTTACACTTGCACTCACTGTTGGGACGACGGATTGGAGCTCCTTCACGGCAGAAATTCTGTGAGCGCTGATTAAAAGTGATGAACAATAGCTAAATAACAAACATCGGAAGGAGGAGTGTTTGGAAGGTTGTTTTTTCCGGCCGCGGGAGGTGAGGGCACTAATATCTCATCCCACACCACCACATGGGAAGAATGAACGCCACGAAGATGCTTGATGTATTATGAGGAACGTACATCTGGGAATATAGCCACACTGACATACGATTTGTATCTACTTGTCACGCAAACAAAAATTCTACCACAGTTCGACAACCTGGGGGTGAGGATCACCAGGGTCTCGTGCGGGAGAGAGCACTCCCTCGCGGTGTCGGACGCGGGCCGGCTGTACGCCTTCGGCCCCTCGGACGGCGGCCGCCTGGGCTTCAAGGCCGTCGTGGGCACCGGCGGCGTGTCCGCACCCCGCATCGTCAGGGCGCCCTGCCTGGCGGAGGAGAGAGTCGTGGCCGCAGCGGGGGGGCAGATGCACTCGTCTTGCGTGTGCGCGTCGGGCAAGGTGGGTTCGCTTTTTGACCGGTCGTTCTTTTTTGTTTGTTTTTTTTGTTGTGTGTTGTGTTGTGTTTTGTTGTGTTGTTGGTTGGTTGGTTGATCCGTATGTAGTATGCTACATCTTTAGGGAGGGGTTGGGTTTGTTAGTGTGAGCGTGTCGGGGTTGAGTTGCGGATGTTTTCGATTAGGTGACTTGACTCGGGTTGACGAATGCGCATGCACACGCGGCGAGGTTAGTGTTGCGTCTATGTCACTTTTTTTACCTCGGTGGTGACTTGTATTATGCAACTCACGTGTTGTTGATTATTTATGGCGTCGCGCCCTTTTTTTTTTTTCAAGGTGTTCACCTGGGGGCACGGGAGCACGGGTGCTCTCGGCCACGGCGTGGCGGAAGATGAACCAACGCCCAGGATGGTATCGGGTTTCGGGCGGGATGAGGCTAGGAGTGCACCGCAGGGCGCCGGCGAGCAGGTATATAGGAGAGAGGACTGTTCGTGGCGACCGCGAGCGGGTTTACTCGTGTTGCGTGTTTTATTTCACAACCGACAACAACAACAACCCCCCGCCGGACGGTCCGAAATACAACAATAACACACACACGCACACACGCGCCACAACTTGATTGGCAGTTTATCCTGAACTGTTCTAGTTTCCGTAGATGAGATGTATTTGTTCTGATCTGTTTTTACGAGGAAAATCACCACTACTACAACAACAGCAACAAAACACCGCGGGTTGACCTTGGCTGGCGACGGAATCAATTGTTTCCTCTTCCACACGAATATGTATTTCCTGTGGACGAAGAGAGAGCTGTATCTGTTCTGTTATGAAAAAAAAAAAAAAACTCCGGACTGAGTTGACTGACTCGACTCGACGTGACTTGGGCGGCGGAATCATGCCATGCCATGCCATGCCATGCCAGGATGACCCCGACGCCGACATCCTCGCGACCAGCGTCGCGTGCGGGGCGTGGCACACGCTCGTCCTCACCAAGGCGGGCAAGGTCCACGCCTTCGGCGACGGTTTCACGGGCCAGCTCGGCCTCGAGGACCGCGGCGGGGAGAAGGAGAGCCGCGCCCTGAGCCCCCGGGTGGTGCGGATCGAGAGGAACGCCGGCGGGGGAGGGGGCTCGCCGGGGGACGTGTACGTGACGGAGGTGAGGAAAGAAGGGTGGAGTCGGTCGTGCTAGGGTTTGGGTGGGAGGCAGAAGTGGCGCGCGCCTGCCTTCTCCCGTGCGGAGTGCAGGAGGGAGTTCGGCCGAGTCAAACGATAGTTTTTTTCAACTTTGTGTGCTCTCCATCCACGGCCGTCTGCAGAACCCTGGGTGTGATGTCCGGGCTCTTTATTCACTGCCACGGCGCCACTCCCCGACTCCAACGTGGCTGTGGTACCTCCCCAGCATCACACTTGACAGCCTTCGAGGTGGTGGCATCGAACCCACTGAAAAACAGCGTGAACTTCCACGCCAGTTCCCCTTGCTTGCCCCCAACCCCCTCCGCCCTTTCTTTTTCAATTATCGCTGTCACCCCGTACATGACAAAACAGGTCGCGTGCGGGAGCTTTTCGAGCGCCGTGGTGTCCTCGGAGGGCAACCTTTACCACTGGGGGAAGCCCGACGCTTTCTCTGACGACGACCCGGTCGCCGACAAGCGATATTTGCTGCCAAGGTATGCACCACCGTGGGTGATAGGCATAGACTGCATACGTACGTAAGAAGGGTTGAGGTATCACCCCTGGTTTCACTTTTGTTTTTGTGTGTCTGGTGCGTGCTAGGCTGCTTCTTGGTTGCGGAGGATACAAATCTATTGCCCCCCTCACCCTTATCCGAGGTCTATTGTCTACCGACTACGGCATGCGTTTACCTAAATGAGTCCACCTATCCCCTCCCTCTGTTTTGTTGTTCGGAGCCTCACCGCCCTTCGACCTTGAACCATCACATCCCGCCACCTCCGGTCTCTTTTTGTTTTTTTTCTCCACCCACCCGTAACCGCGAACCCGGCAGGCGAGTCACCTCCGGCCGCGGCGGCGCCGCCCCGGCCTATCGCCTCGTGGCGCAAGGGGCCTCTTTGACCCTGGGCATAGCGGAGGGGGTCAGGACTGATCCGAGAGGTGGCGGAGGAGACCGAAGTCGGACCGTTCTTCGTCGCTCCTGATTTTGATTGGTGCACAAGAAGTGCGTCATTGAAACCCATTTTTTTGTCTGTGTGCTGGCGCGTTGAGTTAGGTTTTGCCGGGTATGTTTTCACCATGTATATCACATTTTGTTCGTTTTGTTTTTTTATTCGTTTTACTTCGTCGCGATTCGCATATTTGTGGTGTTTCTGTTCTATACGTTATGAAACGATTTACCTTACCTGGTGCTAGTTGGTGTGTTGTCAAGGTCTGATGCCGGTCCCAGAAGAGCGCGTCTGCCCGCGTGCGAAACTACGTGCGTGGTGCGTGCAGTAGTGTTTCTTCTCTGCTTTGACCCTTGCAAAGGTAGCGTCTTCGTCCTCTCGCGTACTTCAGGCTGAAACAAAATATCCTTCTTGGTGGGGGTTGTCCTCGAAAGGTACCACTGTTGCACGCTTTGCATGCGTACCATGCGTATCCTGGCTGCCTATCTTGTCTTGTCGAGCTAGGTGGGTATTTCGCGAGCTGTTGGGACCTCGCTCAAGCGTTTGTTGCAATGTGTACAGAAGTTTGGGGATCTTGTAGGGATGGATGAGCTGTGCTGTGAGGCTCGGGCCCACGACAGGCGCAAGGTTTTGCATTGACATGGGGGGAAGAAGCGCTGCTGTAAGCGCGTGCCTTTGTAGTCAAGACGGGAGGTCGGGCAGTGCGGTTTTGTGTCGACAGAACAGGCACGTCTCTGCCCGTGTTCGAAGGAGAGTGAGGTGTGTTGCGTATCGTCCGTTCTTGCATGAAAGTTAGTTGCGGACCTACAGGGGGCGACAGCCCCCCGGAAGCCACGCATTTCCAACCCCTCTCTTGCTGGAATGCATTATTGTACAGCACATTTCCAGATGTTTTTTGGGGGGGGAGGGGGCACCTTGGCACACGAGCGCGAATGGGCGAACAACGCCCTCTCCGAGCTCGTAATAATTTTCTTTCAACGTGTGCTCAATCGATGTATACGCTGTCTGTATCTGTTGTTTAATACGTACATGCATTGCAGACCCGACGGGATTAATATAAAAAAGGCACACGGAGGGTTTCGGTAGAGCAGGCAGGCCTTCAGCCGGCGAGAAAAGTGTTTCATCTCTTGAGAGCGTCTTGGCGTAAGAAGAAAGATGCTGGCGTGAAAAATAGTGGATCGGCACAAGAGCAGGAGGAACCAAAACTTTGTTAGGTCAGGAAAGTGGCTAGAGGACGCACCCACTTCAGACCGCGGAGGTATGGATGTGTCGTTGAGTTTTTACAAGATTGCGGTAATTCTCTGGGAGCGTGTGCGTGTGCGGGTAATTTTTGGTTGGTGTATGCAAGACTCAATCCTTTGGATCAGAAAAGAGGCATTGCTTCTTTCACCGTTCCTTGAATTTCGTTGTAGTTTTTTATCGCGAAAGGGGAGAAAAGGCAGCGTGGCACTCCCTGTCGCTGGTTCCGTGCGTTCCGCTCGCGTTGACATGGTGTAGACTACTTGTTGTCGCATTGCATTCGGTCTCTCGTTAGTGTAGGTTAGTAGTTTTTCTGTGTTGTCCCTTGCTTGTTTATCCCGTTCCTTGTTGAAAAATAGCACATGCATGTATGTATATGGGCCTCTTGCTTGCTCGGTAACTGGGAGAAGCTACGGGATAGCCGGGAGGGGAAGGGAGGGAAGGCGAGGTGCTGTCGATGATTTCGTCTCTGTAGTGTGGTAATACTTTCCCGCCACACCTCCGACCCTGTTAGCAGTGCTGCCAAACTCGTACCTCAGTGACGTTTTGTCTACCCCTAAATACCCGCTACGCACCTGACAATGCAAGACCTTCTGGGTTTTTCGTGTTTGGTTATCAGGTTCTGCGTGTCAGCTCCTAAAGGCTCGGTTAAGTTGTTAGCGGAGGCGTGGTGCGCGGGGGTGGAACATGTCTCGCGAACGGCTTCGTCTGAACCCGAACAGACACCTCATTCATTGAGCTGTTCGTCGTCCTTCCACAGGAAAGGTGCGCGCAAGCGGCAGAGTTAGTTCTGGTTGACGATGCACACCCTTGCGATTGGGACAGGGCCACTTGAAATTCAAACTGATGGGGACCCGAGCGCACAACGGGTTGTCGCCACGCAAAGTGAGAGCAGTGAGTGAAGCAGCGCCAGCGGAGCACGGGGCAGCGGCCGACACAGACGGGGGGAAGCACACGATTGCACCGTCACAGCGGGCAGGATGGACCGTCCAAATGCGGCCTGTGGTTGTGCGGTGTACCGTGAAATCCAACTGAACACCGCTACGGCTGGCCAGTGCGGCGCCGGCGAGCAATTTCCGGCGATGCTGGCGAATAGAATTGATCAAACCAAGTGAACAACAGTTCATATTCAACCTTAAGGACGGGGATAAGGTAGAGTGTTTTCACCTGGCAGTGTGGTAGACAACACAGCAGTAATAGTAGTAGTGTGGTCGGTCAGGCGAGAGGCACGCAATGAAGAATGAAGAACGAAGAACGCGCGCAAGAAATTTAAATTTCCTCCAATGGTCACCGGTTTGACCGCATCCGTCACCGCCATTAAAGTTCTTGTTGCCATTCGGGCGTGCAAACCAATCTCGCCGCGTCCGCGTCATGTTTACATTCTCCACACCCACGCACCCACCTGCCTCGTGCACTAATTCTCTCAGCCATGTTTCTTACGGCCTCAATATCACGGTCTCTCTCGAGATGCGCCCTGCCCCACTGCCGCAAGTCGCTGTCCGCCAGGCAACAATCGGGAGCAACAGCAGCAGCAGCAGCAGCAAAGGCGGCCAGCCGAGGCTTTGCGTCGGCTTTTCAACCGAGCTATACCGCAAAGAAATCGATAGCCGTCGATCACGACGACTGGGAGGATGACAGGCCGCCCATGTCTAAGATAGACCCGGCCTGTATCGTCAACTCTCACACGGAGTGGGACCCGCTGGAGGAGGTGATCGTCGGGCGTGTCGACGACGCGACTATCCCTGAGTGGCACGTATCGGGCAAGGCTGTGTGGCCCGCCAAACATTGGGGAATGTACAAGGAACACGCTGGAGAATCGTTCCCCAGGGAGCTCGTAATGAAAGGTGAACAGAATGACCCAAAGACTCTCGAGCTAGATCGAAGTTTCACCCCACAGTACGCGGGACATGATGATGATCCACCATTCATTACGCAAGACAAGATAATGGGTTGTTCGCATCTCTGCGGAATGGAATTTAACCTCGTCAGGTCCCGCCCTTTTTTCCCCGAAGCTCCTCGCAAGCATTTATTTTCTTGTTCCGTTCCTACACGCCGATCTCGTTAATGCACGTACGTGCACACCCACCACAACCAGCCTCGGAGGAGCTTGACAACTTTTCGCAAGTTCTTGAGATGGAGGGCGTTACCGTGCGCAGGCCGGAGGTACGCCCGGGAGACTTCGATAGACCTGTCAGCACCCCAGACTTCGAATCCGTGTCGCAGCTGTACGCGGCCATGCCACGGGATGTTCTCATCACGGTGAGTGGGGGTCATACATTCTGCCGAGTCTGTCCATACTCCGTTGTGGGTAGTGGTGTACAAGGGCCCTGGACTTCGGGCCCTATTTCCGCCCTAGACCTCGTGATGAGATTGGAAACAGTCGCTCTGAGACGTTGAAACAATGCTGTTGATGAATGATAGAAGGTGGGAAGTACGAACTCACACGTTTTTTTTAGGACCAATCCTTTCCGTGGTACGTGCTACTGTTGTACCCCAACCTATCTATGCGATTGTTCGAAAAGAGAGCGAATGGTCGCTACATGAGCGGCCGAGGCCTCACCAAACACGATGAGGTGGTCTAGAGTTAGTGGGCGCTTTGGAGGTTTGTGGTTAAATCGTTGCAGAACGATCCCGGAGCAGCGGAACTGCCCTGAGGTATTTTAGGTCATTGAAGAAGCCTAACGGATCGGATGTACATACAGGTACCCAATGGCATGAGCGCGATAGTTTCACGGTGAACCGTGATTTGATGGAGTCAACCTTTCATGTCAAAAAGAGAGCAATACACAGATATTTCTCTTCGACAAGTTTCCCAGAGTACCATCAGAACTCTGGGGAGTGTGAGGTGATTAAGAGCACATAGCTTATTCAACTTTTGAAAGATCGCGGTGATGCGAACACCACCCTATTTCTTGGGTACAACAACCGAAGGATGTCGAGTGTTGGATAAGATCGGCAGCAAGACGTTGGTCGAGAGCAGGGTGCACTTGCTTCGCCACTGGAGGACTAGCTTTGTACGGTCGAGATGTAACTGGCTCACTGTCAGGAGGATCGGAAACAGGGAAGAAGAACCGGAGTCCGCTGGGGATTTAGAAAACACATCACGGTATTCGCACAAAACATTTCCCAATTCGGCAATAACGTCGGGCGTCCGACCCGGACCGTTCAACATATATTTGATCTCTCGCAGATGGCGAGGGAGCCTGTCTCACACGCGACAGAAATTGGTACGGTATTCTGGTGTTAAACGTGCCAAGGGCCAACAGGGGAAAATATTGCTTTCGTTGTTATCGGGAGAAGGATTCAGCAGTCCCTTCCCCTCGCCGACCGTGACATCGAAGGGTGTACACTCACGAAATATATATATTTTCCACCGCAATTTGGTGTTTGTTACAGCTTCCGCCACGCGAATAGCCTCCTGGACAAATGTGTTGTCTTATGCGGAGGAGTACATACCTGTTGTTCCAGAAATTCTAGATACATGCCCACGAGCCCCGTTTACTACTCTCCGGAAGTCACAAACAAACCCGCTTGGAATATTTAAAACATTAGGGGAACGGGTACGTTTATCGCCGTCCGTTTTCCTTCCCCACCACCTCCTTCCTCCTCCGTCCATCCCTCCTCTCCGTGGTAAACCTGAAACACACGTATCCGAGCCGCTTCTTTATCTTTTTTTGATCCGCTGCCTGCTTGCCGCCGTCCGTCCGCCACACCAAGATCGGCAACGAAATCATCGAGGCTCCCATGGCGTGGCGTTCGCGGTTCTTCGAGTACCGCCCATTCCGATCCCTAATTAAGGACTACTTCCGGCAGGGCGGCGGGTGGACGGCCGCTCCCAAGCCGGAGATGTCGGACGACTTGTACGTCCCGGAGGACAAGTGGCAGGTGGGCGGAAGTTGTTTCAATTATCCGTTTGTATATATTCGAGTACACCAAAATCGAAGACACCATCAGTCCAACAGCGGCGGAGTTTTCGCCTCTAGAAACAGCGGTGCCCCTGTGGGACGTGATGGCTGAATCGTGAAATGGTTGTGTATGGAGTTGCCGCAATGACCTAATCCATGTACTTTTGGTCTCGCGTTCATGTTGGCCCAATGGCCTACGGCTACACGGCGTTGAAAGTGATCACAAGTACACCATGTTGCGTTGAGCATCGAGCGCGGAAGACGTGCACCGAAGTAGCGCTTACTGCCCGAAAAACATATCCTGAAGCACCGTTCAGCTCACCGCTCGCTTCTGCTTGTCTCGCCGAAGCTCACAACACTTCGAACGCCTCTCTCAGTGCACGTTTGACTTGGTGACACCCGACAATGCACGAGAGCTCGACCCCATCCAAAGCGTTTTGTTCATCTCCATGCCGATTTCTCCGAGCACCATGTCAGCAGCTCCAAACCACCCCCCCCTCCTCGCCTACCCCGGATCCCCAAAAACACGCACGCATTTCTCCAGGAGGGCGCGGGAAAGTTCGTTACGACAGAGTACGAACCGGTGTTCGATGCGGCGGAGTTCACCAGAATGGGACGCGACATTTTCGTCCAGAGGTATGAGGGAGACAGGCTCTTGCTGCGGTGGCTTTCGGGAGAGCACGCACACGTTCTCCTTGTATTCACACACAAATTCACGCGGTTGACTCAGAGTGGTACCCGGCAAGGTGTGCTTCATTGCTGACGCCCGACACGGACGTGCACATCTTACAATGAAAATAAGATTTGGCACACCAGGTGATCAGGTGTCTAGTAAGCCGAAAGCGTGTCTTTTTCGTGGATTCTAAGGCTTTTAATTGAGCCCCGTCCCCCCCGTCCCCCCGCACTAGGAGTCAAGTCACGAACGATTTTGGCATCGAGTGGATGAGGCGTCACCTGGGGGACGAGTACCAGATCCACGTGCTGGACTTTGAGGTAAGAGAAAACAACGGATGCATGTGTCGTGTTTGAGTCAGAGCCGCCGGCTCAACAAACCAACTCTAACATGTGTTGGCCACACCGCCATGCCCTACCCTCCTACCTTGCTCTCTGAAGAATATGAGAGTTCGCTTGCCAACACATGATACCTAGTTGGCGTCGTTGAAAATATAGTCCTTGGTTTTCAGACTTGACGCCTGTTGCAATTCCCCATCTGATTTGATGCTCTCTCTCATCCTAAGGGGGTTTTGGAAGTCCCCGTGCTCAGGGAAAGTTTTCAGAGTATTTTTTTGAGGTCGGCAATCGCCCCGCCTTGAACGCCCACAACGCAGAATGTAGAGGAGTTTGGTAGCAATAGTGTACGCACAAACCAACGCTGACGAGGGTTGTATTAGTCTGCCGGTTCGCATGCGCGGGACCAGCGTTGAAAATAATAATCACTCCACACAGGACCCTGATGATCTCTCATCATCAAACCCCTCATGGCACGCAGGACAAGAACGCCATGCACATCGACGGGACGTTCATACCGTTGGGGCCGGGAAAGGTTCTCGTCAACCCGAAGCGACCCTGCATCACCGGAAACCACAAGTCGTTCTTCACGTACCAGGGCGAGACAAAGGTGCGCGGAAGTGGTGCCGCCTGTCGGAGTTGTTTGCAATAGGCACACTCGCCTCCACGTCCTGGGTCTGCCATTGTATCGCACGCTCTCCGACTTGACCTGTGCTGATGCCCGCCCTTCTCCACGGTTCGGCATTTTGAGTGAAAGGGGTGCGTGGCCGGTCGACGGCCCAATGGCTAGATCAAGCATTACTGAGTGAACATCTTGTCCTGTCCCTGCCCCTCCATGGACCAACAAGCCGCTCCCATACTGTTTTTGTTCAAGAAATCAGCATCCCGAACATGCGTGTTTCCGTACGCTCCGGTGCGATACACACGCGTTAAAGAAGAACAAAAACAATTCGCCTGGGAAAAATCATACCCAAGCAGGTTGACCGCCCACCCCCCACCCCATTTCGGCACAATTTTGACCTCCGGTCCGCCGTTCCGCCAATACACTGCTGTTTTGTTCGCACCAGGAGTACGCGCTGCCGGACATGTTCAAGGGATGGGACATCTTTGTGGCGGAGTCGCCCGTCCTCCCCGAGTCCCACCCGCTGTACTTCACGAGCCCGTGGACGGCGAGCTGCAACGTTCTCCTGCTGGACGAGAAGCGGGTCGTGTGCGAAGCGTCGGAGGAGCCGACCATCCGAAAGTTCAAGGAGTGGGGTTTCGACGTCATCAAGGTTTGTGTGTGTGTGTGTCTACTGCTTTTGGCGTCGACCGCGCTAACCGGAAGGCCAATGAGAAAAGTTCAGTCAGTGTGTGTGTGTGTGTATTTCTTGTTAGCATCGACCGCGTAAAGCCGGCTGCCCGATGACAAGACGTCAGTGGTAGCCGGTACAATGTGTGTGTCGCTTTGGATCGGCTCGTGTTGGTTCCTGTCGTGTGAACGATTCGCGGCAACACGCGGATGTATGGTTGCTTTCGGTTTATACGTGACTTTCTGACACGATGCGCTATCTTCCGGGAGAGTCGCCACTTAGAACTGAATGTAATATATGTAGACGAGTGTATGGACAAACATACACACGAGTCTGGTGGTGACGTGACGCTGATGTGTATCCACCGCTAGTTTATTCCATGGGCACTTGGCCTCAAATGCAGGCGACATTTCCAGGTCCTTCGCCGCAAGTGGACGTATTCAAACATATTTCGCTTCAACAACCACCCACCGAAATGCAACATTCATACATTCATTGTTTCTGAATTTCAGTTTCCCTTCACACCCCCAGTGTCGTTCAAGCCCCACTCGCGGACCATCGACCGTCGCTTGGGTAGGGAACTCGTGTCGCCGACCGACCTTCTCTCAGATCACGTCGTGCTGACAACTCGCAGCGACCCCTAATCAACACGATAATACCACAGGTGCCCTTTCGTCACTTCTTGCCGTTCGGAGGGTCCTTCCACTGCGCCACGTGCGACGTCCGCCGCACTGGGACCCTCCAGTCATATTTCTGAGCCGACAGTATCACCACCCCCACCACCACGAACACTTTGTGATCAGAGCTTGGAGAAGGCGCATGGCGGAGCGTAGGACAGGAGTTTTCCTTTGTGAAGGGTGTGGACGGCTAAGGATAGGGTTATCGGAAAGAAGTCTGATTTAGAAATATCAAGGTCACTCGTCGGGGCCTAACAGAGGGACGGCAGAAGCGTTTTGTGTCGACATTTCAATCGTTGTTTTCGTTGTCGTTGGTGCTTGCACGGAGGGGGGGGGTGTTCTTGGTTGTTGTGATAAACATTGGTTGGTGTTACAATGCCTCGATACCTCTATCCCTATTGCAAGCGGGGAAAGGAGGGAAGTTGTGGGGAGGGGGGGCAGGGACCAAGACATGCGTGTCTCAGCATGGATGAGACAAGGCGTACGAACTGTACTATCACAGCGTTCATACTATGTTGTTATGATGGCAATGCGGTAGCTAATGCGCTTGGCCGTATTCAAGTGTGGTTCTTGTGATGTACCTAAAGGTTTAGATGAACCAAGTTGTGTGGACTGCGTGCTATCTGCTCATCATGTATACTCGATTTGCTTGTATGAGATAAGCCCAACGTTGTTCAAGAACACGCCGTTGATGTCGTTGTTCATATTTGAAGCTGCGCATCTGTGTCGGCCGTAAATAAACCGCATCATCGATGTGGGAGCCACTTTTGAGCGGAACAAGCACGGACACCTATTCTTCCCGTGAATGATGATGGAGTTAGAGCAATGCGCAACCTGGTTCAAGCCTAGGTGGCATTCTGTGATCGATCATTGCTGTGTCCGGTGCCTCACGTGCCTTGGTGTGCTTCGAGATGTTTTCAAAGCATACATGAATAGTGACGTAGACGATGCTTAGAGAGGATTGATATAATGATGTAAAGAGGATCGACCAACCGATCAATCTACCGGCAGAGTAGATGAACCAACTTTCAAGGTTGCAAGCCTGCCGACGATCGTGATTGAGCTTGGCCTGGTGTATCGTTTTGTGGAAAGTTTGTCGGTGAGAGAGAGTCTGGTCACATTTGTTTCATTCGCTTGTCGTTCCTAGAGAAGGCTAGAGAGGACGATGAAGAACGGGCGAAATCTGTGCAAAAAGGGAAAGACAGCATCGCTCGTACATTTTCACAAGAAAAGTAGCTCGTCTTGTACGTAGGCTTTTGGTGATGGTGTTACCTTTGGTATGGCCATCATACGGTGGTACCGGTCTGCCCCCATTTGCCACAACGCGTTGAATATTTTGTTAACAGTCTCTGCAAGTACCTTGACGCTCTGTCTACCGTACAAAAAACCGTGCAACGGGTACAGGTTTTGTTTCGGGGGCCTTATGGGCGCGATGATGGGTGCTTCGTGCCGAAGAGTAAATGGATGTTGTTGTTGAGCCCTCCTCTCCCCTCTATACACGGTATGTCTAGAATAAAACTCAAGTGTAGGCCAGGCGTAAAACGTCCTGCTCTTGTGCGAAAGTGTGAAAGTACTTTCGTTGAAAGAAAGTGAAGGTGAATGAATGGTGTGCCATCGATAGGAGATGCACATTCATTCTCCGAAAGAAACCGAACAGGGTCAGAGCCAACGAGGGAAAAGAGATCATCCTTACAAGCCCCATTACTTCGGATGGCCGTCTGAATCTGCCTCCTTTGTCGCGACCTATCTATGTACCCTTAGCAGCAGAGAAAAAAGTGGTCGGTCGCCGCCGCATTGCAGCTCCCATCGCGCGCGACTTCGGGTAAAAGGCTCGCCGGTCTGCATGGCTAAACACTGAGCACTGACTGTCTATCCCGAGCTCGAAGGCACTCTATTCGCAATGTCGGGGGCGGTGTGAAAACCGACCGATGTTACAAGTGGTTCCGGGTTCTTGAGCGTCCCGCGTCTGAGTACCCCTTCTCGCAGCGGGAGACAATCCTCGAAACGCAGCGGCAGCATCGGCTAGCAGCGTAGCAGCAGCGCAGTCACCCCCAGCGCTGAAAGCTTTCCATGGTCCGCTTGTTTCGCAGCTATCTGGATCTTATCAACAAGCCACCAAGGTAGCACTACTGACCAACACCTTCGACGCGACGGGCTGCGTTCGAATCATATGTCTGACTATATCGCCACGTATCTGGCTCGAACATCGCGCATAGCTAACCTTGCTAACCAGGCCCGGACATAGAAGAAACCTCTCCGGTTTTCATTGGACGCGTCCCGCTTGTGCAAAGAAATCAGCACAAACCAGTGTCATTCAGACCTTGGGGCGTGATTAACCACAAGGCTTACAGAAACGGGTAACTCTCACACAACATTGTCTACCGTTGTTTATTTTCCAACTCTCTCCCTCTCTCTCTCTCTCTGTTTCAAGTGTAGTCTAGCGGCGTATGGCATCTACCCTAGGGATCCGCCTCAAAAATCGCTCGGGAAGAACAAAATAGATGAATATCTCAAGCCTACATCGAAGTTCAGCACATATATACACCAACCAAACATCGACACCGCCGATTAAAAGTCGACACTCACGCCTTCACGACAAGGAAAAAAGAGAAACAAGTACTCCTCGCCAGAGGCTCTGTTCGGCTGCAAGAAAACAAAAAAAAACACGTACAAAGTACGGCTAGCGTGTGACGAAAGCAACTCCCCGATATTTATCCCAGCCGAAACGGCTTGTTCGAAAGCTGTTCAAACAAAAGCGCATCTGTTCACGTCGTCAGGTAACCCAAGCCCAACTAGGATAGCGCCAACTTTATCACCTTGGCAGCCAAGAAACAGACAGAGGCCCACATCGAATTCAAGGAGAACTATTGCCCGCGCCTTGCCATGCCCGCATCCCAGACAGACCTTGAAAGCGAAGCGACTTCCGTATCGGCACTAGCAGCCCACCGAGCAAGGATACGCACACGAGCCTCGAGCAAAAATGAGAGATTTTACTCGGCGGTGGCAGTGCACATGCATGCACGGGGGCACACTAACGCCAAGAAACCCAAGATTGATTGTACACAGCGCACACGTAGTGGTGCACACCGAAAGCCTGCTCCGCTTTCGTGCGTGCAAGTCTCGGTTGCGGCGGGCCTCTCTCGCTCTTCATCCTCGCAAAAAAATGAGGTGCCCTGCAAAAACAAAACGTACACGGAGCTGGGCAGTATCTCGACGCATCGACCACACAAGGCTTCGTGCATGCCTCCCAGAGACGATTGTCGACCAAACTTGTCGCATGTTTCGTGTTGCAAGACCTATATTATTCGCCGTTCTCTTCTACAGGTAGACGCCCTTGCGGCACTCTAAAAACACCCATCTAAATCATGGTCACATAACCAAAACCACAATACTCCCGCCTCCTCCACTCTCTGTATCCACCCACCGCCCCCCCCCAAACCGCATGATACGTCCGTGTGCGTGTCTCTCTCTCTATCTCTTGTGAGACATGCTGCGGGTAAAACAAAAAAGAGACAAAGAACAATATACATGCACCATATCCCACTTGGTCTGCATGTTCTTGCCTCCACCCCGAGCTCAGGCTCGTTCCTCGAACGAACCCGAGCCTCCTCTTTATTCCGCAGCAGCTACTGCTTCCCTTCACCCTCGTCCCATCGCGACTCTCTTCTAGCCTGTGGAGAACTGCCTCGTCACAGCAATGAATATAATTAGAAATGCACAGTTACATGTATTAATATCAAGCATGTATTTTCTCCTTGTTCATTCCTCCTCGCCGCTGCCTTCGAGTGACTTCTCGAACTGCTTCTTGATGCGGGCCAGCTCCTGGGGTGTGAAGAGAGACGACTCGTCCCGCCGTGATCGTCCCGTCCCAGCGGCGGCAGAAGAAGAACCGCGAGCGCTACCGCCGTCCTGCCCTTGCGACGATGATTTCGAGTAGTCAAAATCGCTGGTTGGTGTACACGTCGTCCGGGGGGGGGGGGGGGGGGGGGGCCCCCTTATATTTTTAAAGGCCCCTACGGTTGAACACCTTGGGGGGGGGGGGGGGGGGGG